TTTTAAACATATGCATGCATTATAAAGAGAATGGTAAAGAGCTATGAACAGCAGTAGACGGGGGATGAGAAGGTATTTGCTGATTTGTGAGAGTTAATCCAGAATTGTTTCTTTCCAAATGCAGCTGCCAAGAATTTGAAACCTCTTGGTTGGCCTCCCATCAGTCAGTGTTTTTCCTATTGATCCACAGGGCTCCGGTGCAGGGGGAGGCAGGGGATCTGGTGATGCGCAGGAAGGATGGAGCTGCTGGAATGCAGCCTGTCGAGCAGGCCAGCGTCCTGCCTGAGTGACCCTTCTTGTTTCTTGTGTGTTTAGGAATAGTTCAGAAATTCCACCTACTCGAAGTGGATAGGAAAGCACGGCGAATGTTGGTACGCACTTGCAGATTAGTACCCAGACATGGTCAGGTATTGCAGACAGAAATGAAAGTTTGTACGTGGGACACACAAAATGCAGTGGACTAGATTCGGTTGCCAGGATGAATGTCTTAGTGTGTTCTCTTGAGGTGTCCTTGCAGAATGTGCGCTACTCTTAGCAGGTTACTGTTCTAGCAATTTTGAACAGAAAACATCTAAAAAATAAAACATCTTCACGGCTTGTTTCATGCGATTGAGCTATTAAGAAAGCACTCAGTATGCTTCACTTTCTGAATGGTGACTAAAATTCCGGCTTATTTCACCAGGTTAGAAGTTCTATTTGGAGGATTCAGCTACTGTAAGAATAACAGCACAGTGTAAGACTGCTTGCAAGTTTTGTCAGATCTTTTTTTTTCTTGTAAGCAAAGAAATTAGTTTTGAGTCATCTAATGGAAATATTGAACAATCCCTATTCTTTAAGTCAGGAGACTGGGAATATATTAATCTGCCCAGAGAAGCTGAGTAACTTACTTGCATAAATGACTGACTTTCTCCACTAGAGGACTGAGCACATACCTATTACCAGGGTATTTTATTAGCCCTAGGCATGGTTTGAGAAGCAAAAAGCCATAACAGAGTCTTTGGTCCTCCTGAAAATTGGGTTGGGGTCATACCTAAATCATGTTCGAAATGTGGTATTTTGAAAGGATCCCGTTATTGCTGATATTAGAATCCCGAAATCCAAGGGCAGCGGCAGCAAGTATAATTCCCTTGGGTATGAAAAATGACTGCAGTGGGTTTAAAATAGTCTCCCTTTTGATTTGCTTTCATGTCTTTAAACACAGCTGAAATACTAGCAAAGATAAAAGTAAAATAAATCCCCTTATTTTGTCTCTACTCTCTCTGAACATGAGTTGCTAAGGGAAGCAGTTGGAAAAGAAGCTTTAATACAGCGCTATTTTGATTGGAATTATGCTTGTCAGTGTTCGTACAGTTAACATGCATTAAGAAAGTTAAGAGTTTATATAATGAGCCCATTAAACTTGAAGTTCAAGCTGCTTCACCATACTGTGTTTTTCTTGATGCACAATGCCGGTTTCTAATATATTGGAGTACACAAATGTTCCAGAGGCTGGTGGGAAATGTAAAAGTACGTTATTACAGAACAACAGAATTGCAGGCTCAAAAGCGTTTTTTTGAAATGTCTGTACATAGATGTCTCTCAGCCAAAGAGGCGTTGCGACTTCGTGTCAAGCCCAGCACCAATTGTAGAGGTTTTGAGGATGAGCACGCTTTTTACTTGTGTTACATATCAGAATCTCCATGCACTGTATTTTTTAAATGTGACAGAAGAAAATGGTAGAATTGTTATGTCCTTGCAGCATCCTTCTTAGATGCATTTAGTCCTACGCGACAGCATTTCACCCTTGCATTGAGTCCATCAGGATTACTGCAGCTGCTTTGCTTTTGAGGAGCTAATTGTCTTTTGTGCTTGTATTTACATAGTACAATTGAAACCCTGAGAGAAAGGTGTGTGATATCTAATGATTTTATTGGTAAAGAGAGACCTATCATACAGGAAAAATGTGTGGCATTTTATAATATACTCTGCTTTATCTGAGTGCTAAAGGCATATTGGGTAATGCAGTTCAGTTATTTCCTGTCTGCAAAGCTGGACTTGAGACAACATTTCTGGTTCAAAACACCCCAATAATGTAGAAAAATCCATTCAATTCTATTATTAGAGAAGAAAAAGCAGCGTTTGATCTTTCTTTAATCTTCCCATGCTCTTTTAATAGCTTCAGTCTTGGCGGTGCACATGATGCTTTGACTCATGTGTCTCCTGTTGTGTTGTACCGCAAATTACAGGTTTTCTTCCTGTGCTGCGCTGGTCCATGGTGAGGCAAGATCTGTGTGTCCTGTAGTCTCTAGCAGCTTTTCCCTGCCTACTCTGCAGTGTGAAAGGGAACTGTGTGCCACATGTGGAAGAGAGCACTGTGCTCCAATCAGATCAAATATTTTGATGTGGCTACGGTTTGCTATAATCGCTTTTTCTTCAAACAGGGCTGTGCTGAGAAATGATGCATTACAAGAACATATTGGCAATGGTACATAAAGAAATAAAACCAGCCTAATTTAAGAGCCCAATAAAATTGACTGTGAACAGTTTTCAATACTCTGCGTGCGTGTTCTTTAGGGAAGAAAGGATCCTGTGTTGCTGTTAATCTCTTTGAAACCTTCTAGTACTTTGTTGCTGTAAGCATTGAGCTTGCCAACTTCTGGCAAGGTAATTATTTTGTTCTCTTCCCTTCCAAATTGTACACATTCGATTCAGCCTTCCCATTCAGAGCAACAAATTCTGCTTGGGTGGTTTTTTTTTTTGCTCACAGTTCGATAAACACTTCTGAGCAGGTGATGTTGTAATTTGCAAATGTTCACAGGGCAAATGGGAAGCATCTTGAGGACTGAGATGAGAAATGCATCGATACGTGCAATGAAGGAGACTTGCAAAGGCCTGGCATAGAGGAGGCTACTGAGATGGGGAAAATTCATTGTGATCTAAAAGTAAAACTACTTTTAAAATAGTGAGAAAAATGTTAGATATTTACTTCCCCTTCTCTCCCGTCTATAAAATAATTGTTGTAATATAAGGTCCTCAAATAAAATAAAAATATTAAATGAAGCAATCTAAAGACTAGAAGTACTTCTGGGTTCTGCTTCTTCTGGAAGTCTCTTCTTTTTCTGAATTAAGACAACATTTAACTACAGTCAATATAGTTAAAATAGGGATTAATTTAAAAGAATGCTGACACTTATTCAGTGAGAGGGCTAAAATATTCTTGAATGACTGTAAAATGTACAGCCTTCTGTCCAGAACAACAAGAGCCTCATAAAAGAAATAAGAAACTTCTTATTCCGTACTAATAGGAGCCATCCTCCCTTTCTCTTGGAGCTGTGAAAGGCTTTTTCCCACTGCTTGCTATTGTGTTACAACACTAATGCTCTGTCACTGCTATTGTGCACACATCCCTGAAGCCAGACATTTGCTGTTCTTAAGTTAAACAAAACCAGCTGTGCCCAGATGAAAAGTTTGAACTGCCTGGTTGTACCTCTCGTACGGTACAGAGGAGCCTCAGGAACTCTGGACAATCATGCTGCAAAAATGGTTTAAAAATATGCACGAGGGGAAAAAAGCTGACACTGTTTTAGTGCCTTGCACCCCTGTCGCCATAGTAACACGGCGTTCAAACTAAGTATTTTTCTTCTTCTAAAGGGAGAATTAAGAGACCTTTCTCTTCCAGTGCCACCATTGCATACTTTCTGCAGCTGCTGCTTGTTTTCTTCCACACCCTCTCCCTGTCGGTGCTGTTCCTGTGCTGCAGCCCAGCTATACTGAGAGCAGTCAAAGCTATTTAAGAGGACAGAGTGGATATTTTAGCTCTTCTAAAGGATTGCTTCATGTTCTGCTCTCAGATTTACTTTGTTTATGTTACTGAAGTTTTCTTCTGCATTGGGACACCTTGCAAATCCTGCCTTTTCACCAAAGCCAACTAGGTTCTGATAATAGCAAAAATGAAAGAATACAGAATTTGGAAAGAAGGCTAAAGACTTAGTTGCTCCATGAGGAAAAAAGCCCAAAGAGAAGTGGAGGTACACTAGTGACTACAAAAGAAAAGGAAAGGGGGGGTGTGTGTGTGTGGACAAACACACACAAAAAAAACCCCAAACAAACAAAAAAACCCCCACCAAAACAACCAAACGGGTTGTGCTGTATTCTCTAGCCGTGGTGGTTCTAAAACTAAAATTCAACAAGTTTACTGATGGGGATAATTCCCATTTTCCTCTTACCTGTTTTACTGATGCCAGATTTTTAACTATCCTTTCCAAGTGTGTCTGATTGAATACCATCTTCCCTGTGTCTGTCAAGTATTTAAGAGGTGAACTTATTTGCATGACTGTATTCTTTAACCAGAATCAAAGCTATTGCTAGTTCTGTATTCTTGCAAAAAGTTTAAATTTTCAAAAGTATGAAATGGCCTCATTGTATTGGAAAGACTTACTGTATGTTGTTGGACAATATTGTAAGCTGCTAAACTGCAGTGAAATTGTTATGAATACTCTGTGCATAGGAAGCTTGAGAGCTCTATTAGCTTAAGAAACAGGCTTTGAAATGTTTTTATTAGACCTTTAGGACCTGTATGGAAAACCCTCTAGACAGCTTGGTGAAACACCGATAATTAGCACGTGGGCTTTTTTAATCCGACGCATAATTGTTTTGTCTTGTGGTATTTTAGAACTAGAGGGTCTTATTTTCCTGTTATTGCTGACGAGAGGATTGTCATTGTACGTAATGAACAATTTCCTTGTTGGAAGGAGGGGAGAAATGGGGTATTTTGTGTGTTTTAAAAATTGTTTTACCTGGAAAGGGCTGTATTAGGGAGATATTAATAAATGGATTGCTTGGAATGCACTGTGAATTTTTTCAGCTATAACATGGACTCCAGGAAGGCTCAGTCCCTTCCACGAAAGGTCTGAAGGGCGTTGTGCCTCCACGTGCTGGCGATGTCAACGAAGGAACCTTGCACACACCCTCGGGAATTAATTGTGATGCTAATTTGTTTTCCTCTCTTTCCATCTTTATAGGCATATGAAAGAAGGTTCCCTACGTGTCCTCTGATCCCTATGTTTGTAGCCAGTGACACTGTAAACGAATACAAGAGCGAGGATGAAGCTATCCATGTGATTGAACGGCGCTGTAAGCTGGATATAGATGCACCACGGCTATTGAAAAAGGTGATGTGGTTTGAAGTGCCTGTTTTATACTTCTGGATATCCTTTCACATGAATATTGTATCTTAATGGAATCTATGTCATCTTCCTCAGATTGCAGGAGTGGATTATGTCTACTTTGTCCAGAAGAATTCTTTGAACAGACGGGAAAGAACTTTGCATATAGAAGCCTACAATGAAACCTTCTCTAATAGAGTCATTATTAACGAACGCTGCTGTTACACAGTGAGTAACAGGCTCTTGGTGGTGCTACAGATGGAGTGAAGTCAGTGTGTAGATTTCAGGAGTCATACACAGAAGTTGGGTGGTTTTTGGCGTTTGCCTTGCAAGAAAAAATAACCAACACCCCACTGTGAGTGATAATTGTTGTTAGTGTTAAATGTAACACACTTGCTTGAAGAACTGAAACAAGTTTGGCACCCTCTTGCTTCGAGCATCTTCTCAGAGAGCAGAACACACAATAATTTGCCGTGTTTGTCAGCTCTGTTTAGGCAAATCTGCGGTCTGTGATAGCAGTGTGGGGCTTGGTGAGGCTGATGATCCCCTGACAGAACTGTTAAAGGAAAGTTCAGTGTAGCTTATTTGCCTTCTGCTCAGCTCAGACATCGAGCCAGCTATGTTTTAACCTCATTCTTTCCATTGTGGCTGTTCTTGGTCTTCAGTGCAGGCGTTTTGTGATACAAAGGAGTCTGGTGGCATGCTTACTGCTGTGCTCTGCTCATGCTTTTTTCTGAATGCCTTACCCAATACTCGTAAGCTTGTGCAGCACACATGTATAGCAGTAAAACTTCAAATCGATGTCAAAGGTCAAATCAAAGCTAGCAAATTATTTATTTGTATTGTAGCATTCTTTTTACGTGCAGGTGATAACATTTTCTGTTGTGTACAGAACCATGGTTAAAAGGTCACTGGATGTCAAACCCACTTGACACTATTTGATTATTTTTTTATTATTATTATTTCTGCAATTATTTCCAAGGCACATTTAAAAATACTTTTCCACCTGCACTTTTTTGTGAAAGCTCTGTTTAAACAGGGGAAATGCTGTACAGAAAAATGCATGTGATAAATATGTGCAAAACAACACTTCTCCTTGCCCTTGCTCTACTCGATCAAGAAATTGGTAGGTAAATACAAAACCTGGATTTTAATTCAATAATGAACTGTTTTTTAAGAGTTCATTCTTATTAAAGTTATTTTATAATTGGATTTATGAAAGGACAGGAAGATTCTTAAATGTTGTTGTTATTCTTTGTACTTATTTAGGCTGTACCAGCTATTCTTGTACCCCCCATTCCCTAATGCAGAAGAAGCAAATGATGGGAAATGGCCTTTTTTCTCTAGCTGTCTCGTTATAAAGCGTTGATACTGTTCCCAGTGAATTTTAGCATCTTTTGAGGGGGAGGGGAACTGTAAGGCATCAGAACAATTGCATGCTCCGAAATCCGGCCTTTCGTGATGTTTGTGTAACTACGAATTCAGAGCCCACCCTGGAAATTCTTTAGATAAGTCTTTTTTAGCTGAAGAGAGTTTAGAAAACAGATTTCCTTCAGCGTAGTAACATCTCTGTTTCAGGATCGTCTCTCAGCAAACTAAGATACAAGCTAAGAACAACATTGGGAGTGCTCTAAGATAGCTTATTCAGCTGTCAGTCGAATGAGAAGTTTACACTTCTTTCTGTAGCCTTATCATAGGAGAGAACAAAGTAAAATAGTTTTCAGTCTACAAAACACTAAGGTACTTTAGGTCAACGAGGGAATGATCCATTGCAGTATGTCTGTTGCAAACATGTCTAGACTGCAGTGCTTGGAAATGTTTACACTGTGCTTGCTGCAGTCTGCAAGCTAGCTGGCCTTGGTCTGGCAGGCTAGCTTGCAGCAGCAGCAGCAAGTTCACTGTGGAGTATCCTACCCTCTTCCACGGACACACTGCAGTCAGCCCAGATCTAGAAGGAGACAGCGTTCATTGTACAGATGTGCTAGTCCTTTGGCTCTTGGCTGGTGCGCTGGTATTGCTCTACCCCCTCCTTTCTTGTTAAGAAAAAAATGCACTGTGCTCGCCGAGAGACTACAGGAGGGCTTCTCAGCTTTTTGTTCTTCAGCGTTACCTTTTTCGAGCAGTGTTTTACAAATGAAGCAAAAGACGGCAAATTCCACTTGAATGTTTTTGAGTATGTGAACCTGTAAAACAAGAAACAGTTCTTTCAAATATTGTGAGGAAAAAAAACCTAAATGGATAGCTAAACTGTATGACCTCCTTTTAACTAATAGGTTCATCCCGACAATGAAGACTGGACCTGTTTTGAACAGTCAGCAAGTCTGGATATAAAATCTTTTTTTGGTTTCGAAAGCACAGTGGAAAAGATTGCCATGAAGCAGTACACCAGCAATATTAAAAAGGTGAGCCTGCAGTCATGAAGGAAGCGCCTGGCTCCAAGTTACCAACAGACAATGTAGCTGCTGCTAAGTAACGGGCTGCTCTGCTCAAAAAGCCGCGATGTTTACTCTTTAGCTTGGGGCAGCATGTGTGTGTAGCTCTGTATTTTCAAGTGGAATCTTGAGAGGCCTGGCCACTTGATGGGTTTCCAGCCCAATCCTTTCTGTGTCTAAATGGGTGTTTTTAGTAGCTGAAGTAAATTTTCCTTTTTGAAGGGAAAAGAAATAATAGAATACTACCTGAAGCAGCTGGAGGAAGAAGGAATAACTTTTGTTCCTCGTTGGACTCCTCCTGTTGCGTGTGAATTGGAGAGCAGCACATCCCACACAAGACGACCAGTTTCACCTGCCATTAATATACCAGACTCTGCCACAAAGGAGGGCTTGAACAGTAAGGAGATCCTCAACACCTCCGGCAGCCCCTCGGAGCCCACGGCAGGAACGCCTGATGGTATGGTGCTCTGACTTGTTCTAGTGGGATTCTTTGTACTGTAGAGGCGCTCAGCACTGTGCTGCTTCTCATGTGCAGCCGAAAATTTTCACATTGGCTCTTTGTTTGGTAACGTACAATGTTAAAGTGCAGGCTTGCAAAGCAGTCACATGTGGGATAGCTTAGCTAGCTGTTACGAGCTGGTCTTTTTAGTAAATGAAGATCAGATATGAGTGGAAAAACTCTTCACTTTGCTGTTCATTAGATTGCAAATGGATGGCATAGTTCTTGCCCTGAAATTCAGGGATGGGTATAACTATGGGAATAATGGGGAGGAAGGGGCTGAAGCTTCCCTGGACGCAGTCTTCTGTTGTGTCTTCCTTCCCCTGTTAATAAGGGAATTTGGGAAAATTCTTGCACTAGGAGATTTAGATCAAAGCTTCTCTTATTTCCAGAAGAAGCAAGCTCTATGGTGCTGTGGATTGACAAATCTGAATATACTGGCAAAATGCTTTTATAAATGCCTGGTTTTACTCCTTTCTTAGTTGCAGAAGGATAATTAATCTTGGTTTAACATTAAGATGACTGTTATGTTGCCTTGCTCATCTTTTCATTGATGCAAAGAAACCTTATTCAACTCTACACAGAACACAGCAGCCACTTCTCTGCCTCAGATATCAGCATATGAGATTGTTTGCTCCTTTGACTAGGTCAGTTCAGGACCACTCTAATCACATGTACGTCTCCTTTTAGACAAGCTAGATGCAGACTACATCAAGCGTTACTTGGGTGACTTGACACCAATGCAGGAAAGCTGCCTCATTCGACTGAGACAGTGGCTCCAGGAGACGCACAAGGGCAAAGTAAGTTACTGTTGGTCTCTTGTGGCTCTATCTCAAAATGTGTGATATGCAAGATGGGCCTGATGAAACATCATGCCACACCTCCTGTGGCTAACTGTTCCTGTTCAGTGGCCTTCCATGATCAAAACAAAGTACCTAAATTAAGTCTATACAGTGGCAATAGAAGTAGTTCATTGTGACTGTCCAGCTGACTTTGCCAGCTGAGATGCTTAAATGATTAGTGTGACTGCCTCTCAGAATGTCAATAAACCAGCACAGGGGAATAACGTCAGTTTTATAAGTCTGCCTGGTTCTACAATAACCTTATTTTTACATGTGTTTGTTTTGACTGAACATCCTATTCTCAAATCTACGTCCCTAAGTGCAGTACTGAAAGGGAAGCAATGTGGCCAGTTAAATCACCAATAGCAAGGCTGGGGGCTTTCCAGTGGTTTGTGATTTGCATGTGTGTTTCAGCTTCCCTTTACTTAGCATGAAATGCAGTCTGTGTTTTGTCCCTAGATTCATTTAAATTGGAGTGACTTTAGTATGGTCATACAGGTGTAACTGATTACATTAGAGTTCATGAAATTTTTATATCCCTCATGTGAAGGTCGCTGCAGTACCTGGCAGGGCTCGTGTTTTTGTTGCAAACAAAGACGATTTGCTTGAGTAACTTTGTGTTGCATACCATCCTCTTGCATTGGTGCGGGGCTACACGTTTTTCAGCTTCTGTTGTTTGGGGTTTTTTTGTTCTTGTTTCAAACCTTGAGTACAAAATTAAGTTTGCTTGTTTGTTTTTTAATAGATCCCAAAGGATGAGCACATTTTAAGATTCCTACGTGCCCGGGACTTCAACATTGATAAAGCAAGAGAAATCCTTTGCCAGTCGCTGACATGGCGTAAACAGCACCAGGTAGACTATATTCTAGACACCTGGAACCCTCCTCAAGTACTCCAAGATTACTATGCAGGCGGCTGGCATCACCATGACAAAGGTATGCTCTATAGGGTGGATATCGAACAGCCTTTTTTATGTTCTGCATTAAAGGTGATAGTTGTCCCTCTGTTAACTAGAGGTGACTGGAAAGATGGTTAGAACTTCTCAGTTGTTATGTACTAAATGCATTTAAGTTGATGTTGCCAGCTCCTTAGTTGGTGGAGGCAGGCTCCTAGGTCCTAATCTTTCTGACTAATACTCACATACTTAACTCTCCAAAGAGCTCTGCTTTGCCAGGAGCTTAAAAATGTTATTAATTGCACTTCTGTAGTGCTCTGAGATGCTTAGAAGGATGTTATGCAAATGCTAGGTATTCTCTTTCGGTGATTAAAAGATGTTTGTAAATAAGCGTATCTTTCTAATCAACTTATTTCTGATGTTGGATAAGTCTGCTGATGGCATAAATGAATATTTATTTGGCGTTAGAATCAGCTTAATGATGAGAAGTGGGATGTTGCAAAAACATCAAATAGAGCAGGTTTATTTAAGAAGGGAAGAAGCTTTGGCTGAATTCCCTTTGTATGGTGAGCCACGGCCAGATCTTTAAAACACGGACAACTATGCCTGACACGCTCCCCTATCCCTCTGCTTGCTTTATCGTGCACTGATCTTGTTGCTAATACATACACAGAAATGAAACATTTTGGAATTTGCTGCTTGAGGCACGCTTGGCTCTTTAGATAAGGAAATGATCTCTTACTGTGAGCTCTCTGTGTTCTGATTTAGTCTTTTCCCCAGTAGGCACCGTTGTTTCCGCTAGCTCCTTCTGTTAGAAGCAGCGTATGAGGCAGGAGAGGAAGCTGTCGGCAGTGGTGGCCGGGAGACAGGGAGGACACAGCAGAAGTTTAATCACTGTAAAGCCGGAGAACTTGACTAGCGCTCTCCTGCTGGTTTGGGTTTGACAGACCTCGAACTGAGAAAGTGGGAAATGAGAATGTGCTTGCAAAGACTGTCGGGAAAAAGACCTGCGAATAAGTTCTCCCTTTCTGTCAGTTCCTTGTCCTTCCTCTGTCAACAGCACGTAGCTGGGTCCTGACAGTGAGCAGGAAGGTACAGAGTGCATCAAGGCGTTGTTCAGTGGTTTTCTGAGAAGTTCTTCAGTCTTGTGGTGAACTTCGTGCTCCCTTCCTTTCCCCTCCAGGTCCTTTGGTCTCTTTTGCAGCACGCCCACAAGTAAAGCATGGGTTTGTCAATAATGGAAACAGAATTTGAAAACTGAGCAATTCTCTATAATTTAAAATTTTACAGTGGTATGTTCTTTTTTTAAACCCTCTTTTCTAGTATTGCTCCTTTCCTCCTACGTGTGCTAAATGTGCCGAACTTAAGCTAGCTGAATTCTGTATAGCTTTTAGCGCCGAAGCAGAGGCAGCAGTGATTATGAAGCGTGTTGTCTAGAATGAGCTATTAGTGCTAAAGAATAAAAGTTATTATTTTGGCTTGCAATTAGCACAGTTTTCTCTACATCTGAGTGGCTTTTATTTTGACAGGAAAGCTTCAGTCAAATGGGTTTTTAAATCACAAAGCTCTAATGGAGTATAAAATACACAGTGATAATACAGCACTGTCAGCTGAGACTTTCCTTCATGTGTCATTTGGGTGGACCAGGGTTAGTCATCTGTTAGTTTGGGTTTGGATGCCTGTGCATCTGTGAGGGAGGGAGACCTGCTATGAAGCTTAACAGCACTTTGTGTTTAGTGTTCCAAAAGCTAAAGGGTACATTCCAGGATAAGTGTGCGCTAATGTTAAAACAACATTTTCTTTGACACCACCTGATAAAATACAAAAGACTGTGAACTTTCATGGGGGTAGTGTCTTTGCCAAATAACTTGCCTTGACTCTGCAGTTTTGATTGGGTTTTTTTAATAGCATATCTTGACAGTTTCTTTCCTTGTGTCCCAAAGGACTTAATAATAACTTGATACCTCTCTTTGCAGCTCCTGGAGGGAAGGGAAGCTAAACAGACAACAGGACTTCAGGGAGATTTTTATGTAGAAAGCTCATTTTTTTGATTTTTGTGTCCTGGCATATTCAGTTTTATAAGCTGGCGATTATTTAGCTTGTGTACTAGAATAGATGGAGCAAAGCTTAAAAAATGCATCACAGCTTTGGGGGGAGGATGGAAGCTGTTTCAGACAACTAGCTCCTACTATGGAGAGCCAGAAATGCAAGCTTTGATTCTCAAATTCAGCCAATGCAGTTGTTAACCTTAATGCCTTTGTATCCTGGACGGTATCAGGATGCCCCCGTATGCAGCAAGATGACCGTGAAAAGGCAAGGCTTTGAATGCAGAGGGTCCGTCTGAAGCTGATCTCTGGAGCAGAGTCTGTTCTCACCAAGCTTGACCTGCATAAGTGAGGCCGTGTGCCAGTTCCGCATGATGTGTAATGGCGTAGCTGAAAGGTGTGACTCCAGCAGATACTGCGGAAAGCAAGTCTCTGGGTTAGCACTTTGTTTCATTAATTCCCAGAACTCAGCGTAGCTACCTTTCCAGAAAGGCTGCTGTAAGCTATCTAGAGCAGTGTTGTGTCATGTGTGATAGAAGGTTTACAGCCTTCATTGCAGCTCTTCAGTTACACTAACGGGCTAAAGCTTTCCCTGTATCTTAGCTGTCCTGGAAGCTAATTATAGTCCTGTGTCTTTAATTGTGTATACCAAGGTCTTGTGTGTACCAGTGTACTTGATGAAGTCCTTTGGACTTTCCTTGCAGACAGGGGAGCCATTTTTGCATCAAGATGTTTCCGTTAAACTTTTGCAGTTCGTTTACAGGCAATCTTTTGGCGTAGCTGGACAGGGTAAAGTTTATATTGCCATCTGTTCCAGATTCTCCTTCTTGCAGCTGTACAACAAAGTTTGAACTGACTATGGCTTGTTTCCATGTGGATTTCAGCATAAAACTAGCTCACTCGAATTGTCTATTGCTGTAAAAAAAATGGTTATATTGGTATATTTGTTCTCGTTATTCAGATGGTCGCCCGCTGTATGTGCTGAGATTGGGACAGATGGATACCAAAGGCTTAGTGCGAGCTCTTGGGGAAGAGGCCTTGCTTCGATACGTAAGTATTTTTGGAGCCAGCAAGTTGCTAACAATGTGATATTTTCATCTAGAAGTTTCCTCTTCTGCCAGAACATTCATCACCCTGGATATTTTGATGTACTCTCTGACCGTCTGTTTTTGGTTTGAATACATCTGAAAGCTCCTGGTAGCTGATCTTCTGCATTCTTTCCAACTGCAAACTGATGGTGGAAAGGCGTAGTTCTTGGCAGCTGCTATGGTTATTGGTTAGCATTTTCACAGATTCTTCTGCAGTTTGTGCAGTGCTTCAAACTTAAGTCTCTGCATTTGTACAGAAGAGAAAATGCCATGCTCAGGTTTTGTCAAGCCTGTACTCCAAGGATAAGAACAATTTATTTTTAAAGGAAAAGTACTTGCCTGTAATTTTGCCTTCTCTAAAGGCATCCGTCAGACTGTGTTATTGTGGATCTGCTCAGTTTCCAGGCAGAAAGCTGGCAGAATTCCAGGTTTGCAATAATTTTTTTGACTCCTAGTAATGACAGTCACGGCCAGAGTAACCACTGGAAGCAGGGGCTGGATTTTACTTTTTCTCTTCCTGTGGCATTTCCAGGCACATGCTAAATTTTGTTTGTTTGCCCTAGTTCTGTTTCAAGGTTACTTTCTATGACTTAAAAAGGGGCTTTAATTTCTACGTAAATAGGAAATCGGTGCTTAAAGGGGCAGAATTGTAGGGAGACTTCTTGTCTGTACCACTCCTGGGCCTCAGTTTTCAGGAGGATCTTGTTTACATTTTACTGCTTTTATGGAACGTTATGTTTATTTTTCAACTAGATCAACCAATGGGGTAAATTTAGTGATTTCTAGTTCATTCTGTGGGGAAAAAAAAGTTTACGCTGGTTTGAGCTTGTAGTTTTAATTAGTCTTTGGATATAAACATTTTTTTTATCCCATCTACTGAGTTTGACTGTCTTCTCTAAACAACATATTTTCTTGTACAGGTTCTTTCAATAAATGAAGAAGGACTGAGGCGATGTGAGGAGAATACGAAAGTATTTGGCAGGCCAATAAGGTAAAATACAAGCAGTGGATCTGCTCTTACCTGCTTTCACGGTGTGCGTGGGGGGAACATCAGGCAGTGTGATGCTGCTGAGCAAAGTTTATTAAATGGAGCAAGCAGAGGGTAGGCTGTGTCTCGCATGCAGATACAAGCACAGTCACAGTTAACTGAGAGCCTCTCCAGTTACCGCTGGAGGGAATCTGCGTGCGCAGGCCTGAGGGAGACACCCCACCTGCTCCAGCAGCCTCGCTGTCGTGCTCAGATGGGTCTACACGGGGAGCGTTCTGCTTCTGCTCTCTTCTGCTGTTGGACGTCTGCAAAGCAATGCAGCCTGCCTCCCATTTCTGTTTCTGAGGGATTTTATAGACAGATGTTGGTACGGGCTGCCAAAAAAATCAGGCCACGAGAATATCACGGATAACCTTTCCAGTTTTCATGTCACTCGTTCATCTATAGTCCATACCAAGGCTCATTACACTCTGTTCTTGTTTGCATTCTCCATTTATTATACGCGGTTACTCAACTCTTGATCCGACGTAAAGTCGTGCGGCTCCTGTGAAGCCTGGGGTCTAGCTTTCTAAGTGCTGGCATGACTTCATGTAAAGTTCAGTCAAAAATGGCTTGCTGTCCCGTCTTTAAGTCATTGTAGGGGTCACTTACGAAAGTGTTAACTGCAAAATGGATTTAAGGGTGTGGAATGAATGCAGGACTGGCCCTGAAAGGGAACAGTGTTTCTTGGACTCTTTTCAATTTCTGACTCCTTCCCTTAATCTGTAAAGGGTCAGTGATGCATGGTATGTCTGCTTATCTTTTCCCCGTTAAAGAACTTGCTGTCCTAGCTCTCAGTGGGAGGTCAAATCCAAGAGGTGGTGGATTTCATGTGTGTAACTATGAAATTGTGGTGCCTACTGGATCTTCATTTGTAGAAGTAATGCTAAAGGACTAGATATTAAACACTTAAAGTGAAACAAATAAGTGTTTGCTGTTTCATAGAAACCTTATGCACAATTTAATGGATGCTAGCTGGTGCAGCACAGCTGTAAATCTTGAATTCATGCCCAGGGCGAGACCTGAACTTGGAAAGTAACTAAAGCATATGCTGAAGCCCAGTATTTAGTATTAAGAACATATCTCTTCCTATAGAAAAAGCTTCCCTCCCTGAGATCTGATAACAGAATTAGCTTTGACATGTAATGGCACTGTTACTGTACTGTGTTAGTAGGAAATCTGCACCATGAATGTTAAATTGCTTCATAGGAGTGTGGCCACTTAATTGATTTCCCAGTAAAAGCAGTGGTTTAATGTTTGGGCTGCTGTTGACAGGATCTTTTTTTGGCTTCATATTACCCTTCACCTGGAGTCTGCAATGTCTGTAGGGCGCTCTGCGTGTTGTGCAAAGGTCACTTTGCACATCCTCTGTAACTGTGCTTGGCACACTCTAAGACATTTCCATTCTAAGGACCTTAAACTCCAGTGTCTACAGGTAGCACAAAGCAAGGAGGTAAAATAGAAGAAACCAAAATATGCAGTGGGGTCGACACATTGGGTACTTGTATAAGAAAGGAGAATTTTGATGCTATTGAGATTTTTCTTTTTGTCTTTCTCAAATTCAGCTCTTGGACCTGTCTAGTAGATCTAGAAGGCTTGAACATGCGGCATTTATGGAGACCCGGTGTCAAAGCATTGCTAAGAATCATTGAGGTGGTTGAAGCTAATTACCCTGAGACTTTGGGTCGTCTTCTAATCCTAAGAGCGCCTCGAGTATTCCCAGTTCTTTGGACGCTGGTATGTTTGTAATTCAAGGCATTCCTCAGCTCTTTCAGTACACTGCTAGACACTTGTAGTTTGTAAAAGCACTTTAGAAATCAGGCTTTACAAGCAGGAAATGTTACCGCTTGGAAGCATCTCTTTTATGGGATTCCTGGAACGGATTTAAAAATGCTACCTAAGAACTTGCTTACATAGTTGGTTAATTTAGCTTCTTCATAGTGTGAACTTTGCATAACAAGGATGATAACACTTAATGCGATCAAACTGATTCCTTCAGAATTGACTCAAGAAAAATGTGGGAGCCTAATCTGTTCTGTTTTTCTTTGTTTGTAGGTTAGTCCATTCATTGATGACAACACTAGAAAGAAATTCCTTATTTATGCTGGAAATGACTACCAGGGTCCTGGGGGACTGCTGGATTACATTGATAAAGAAATTATCCCTGATTTTCTTGGTGGAGAGTGCATGGTATGAATATAAACTAGTGCATATAGCAACTTATTTGTGGGTTTTTTATTCCCCTGCTCTTCTAAACAAAGAAGCCTAGAAGCACAATGTAGTTTGGTGAGAGATATGATGTAGGATTCCAGGCTTAGTGTTTTCTTCTGGATCCACTTGAAAAAGAGAAGTACAATACTTCTTTACAATGAATATCAAATAATTTATCAAAGTAGCCAGGCATGGTTAAAAGCCATAGTCTCTGTTACCTGTCAAGTTCAAGCAGACATGGTAGCACAGCACTGAGCAAGAGCTGTCACCATCAGCCCATCAGAAGAGTCTGTGTCACCTAAAAGAACTAACTGATGCCATAGGGAGCCCAAGGAAATGTGTGGCACATGGCTAGCAGGGCTTAACAGACAGACAGGTCTCCTAGTGCAATGTGCACATTGACCACAACAAACCGAAAAAATTGTTTTACTGCAGGATACTGTAATGTCTCATCCTTTGTCCTGTGCCTTAGTCAGTGCTTTCTGCCTAGACTATGGGTGTCAGTCGAATCTGTCATTTTAACATCTCAATGATGCTGTAAAGGTTTGTTTTCTCTGTAATAGTTTTGACAACACAGGCTCACTGGTGTGACTGAGGTGTAGGAGTGCAACTCAGGCGTTTTCTGGAGCCTCCATCACAGTAACACTTAGATGATTTCTTTTTTTCTGAACTCAGCTGTGTTAAAATATAATTTCAGGCTTGCTTTTTAAGACCCTGTACACTTTCTAGATTAATTTCTATACCATTCTTGAAAATTCATCTAGGTCTGTTCAAATACAGTCTTAAATGATAATGAAGTACTGTTAGATGTGGTGGAGTAGAGCATGTGTTTATCTTCAGTGGGCTGCTTTTTGCTGCAGCAGTAGCTTTCAGTGGAAGAGAGTTTATGCTATCTTATTTGGAGCTTGAGAAGCTGGCAAAATCCACTGCTTAAGTAAGCAAAAGCCAATGTTACCAGAAAGCGAATTGCTGCAATACTTCCTGCTGGTCACAGGCAGTCATTGAGTCTCTTTCTCCTCTTTACTTCTGGATATTTGAACAAATATGACTTCTCAAAGATCCTTTCAATTCTCTGTTGTAATTCAGTTATCAAACACTTCTGCTGCCCCAAACGCTTCTATGGAACCCGTTCCTGATCAGATAGTTGTCTAACTTCATTACTAGAGACGTCCTAAAAAAGATGATTGCTTAGGGAAGTGGCGTAATCAGTTCCAGTACTGAGCTGTCAAGACAGTGCTAGCTTCAGAATGGTTACCTTCCTGACTGCAAGATCCTTTTACCTGTTGGAAACTTACTGTATCTCCCCGCCATCCTTTGTCCTTAAGTGTAGCTACCCCAGTTCTTTCAGGTCTCTGTAGGCTATATTTTTTAGACTGAGTTGCTATTGCCACTTTCCTCAGGATTCTTAAGTGGCTCACATCTTTCTTCAGTATAGGGCACTATGAGTAATAACTGTCACGTTTGCACAGTCATTTTCTGTGGTGCTGGCTGTTGTGTACATACAAGGTCTGTTCCTCTGGTGTCTAGTTCTGCAAACTCACCTAAACCAGATCACTGTAAAATAGATTTATATATGTATGATGTACAAGCTATAAAATTACTTTAAAACTCTGTTCGTATCTCATTCTTCAGAGTACTTGCTGAATGTGAGTTTTTGTTTCTGAAGCTAGCAGGCAGAGAGCGTGACAGGGTGTGGATGTACGGAGGGGATAGTTTTTAATGGCTGTTTATGCTTTCAGTGTGAAGTACCAGAGGGTGGGCTGGTTCCCAAGTCCCTCTACCGGACAGCAGAAGAGTTGGAGAATGAAGACATAAAACTTTGGACTGAAACAATCTACCAGTCTGCGAGTGTCTTCAAAGGGGCTCCACATGAGGTACAGTCGCAGCCCACCCTTCTTTTCTTTAATCTCGACCCTCTGCTCTGGACTCTGTCTCTTGAACTGAAAATGGTTTAGAACTTGGTTATTTAGTTGCCATGCTTCCACCTTGTTCTTCTGTAATTCTGGTGCATAATGATGCTTTAGTAGCTGAAGTTTGTGACCATTCCTGGTATCATCTTGTTGCCATTTAGAGAATATCACTGTTTTTCATTCTATTCAAAGCAGTATCCTTCTAAGCAAAGACAAATTATATTCTCAGAAGCTACTTGAGAGGTTCTGAAAGTCATGTGTTAAAATAAGGATACTCCATCAGGAGAGAACTTCTATCTACACCGCCTTTTTAGTAGTCTAAGTTAAGCCTGGCAACAAAAAGCTCTGTTCTTTGTCCTCTTTTCTGGTAGGAATTTGTCTTTACTGAGCAAATTGCTATGTCTAATATGACTTTTCTGTCTCAGGTTCTCATTCAGATTGTGGATGCCTCATCTGTGATCACATGGGATTTTGATGTGTGCAAGGGTGACATTGTTTTTAACATCTTTCATTCCAAAAGAGCCCCACAGCCTCCTAAAAAGGACTCTCTGGGAGCGCACAGTATTACATCTCCTGGTGGGAACAACGTCCAGTTGATAGACAAAGTCTGGCAGTTGGGGCGTGATTACAGTATGGTGGAGTCTCCCCTTATCTGCAAAGAAGGGGAAAGTGTGCAGGTAAGACCGCCGAATCCTCGTGCGGGAGCAGATGGAAGCTAGCTCCAAAACTAGATGTTCTAATTCACAATTGTTATTGATGACTGAGTGGTGATTCAGCTCTGGACTGTCTGCTTGCTTTTGGCCGGCATTTCAGCTTATGTTCCTAGCTGCGTGCTGCAGGGAACAGGGATTAGTATTTACGTGGGATCTGCTGGGGGGGGCTTGCATCAGTCCAATAGTGACTGAGATTGATCAGCAAGGAATATAGGGAAGCCACCTAGAAAGCAGCGTGCATCCAGAAAGTAGCAAGACGTGCTTTGTGCTGTAATTTTGACCATTATTTTCTGAAGCAAATGGTCTGTGTTTGAAGAATATCATAGTGTCTTACCTCAGTAATGAGAGAAGTCTGGAAATTAAGACTGAGCTTCTGTGTGTTTGTCCCTCTAACAGGCACCTTAAGGAGCTCCCTATGGCCGAAGCTAGTGAAGGTTTTTTTTTTATGGCATTTGCAACCTATCCTTTAATTACCAAGTTTGATAGTACATGTGCCGTGTTTACAATCACACTCTGCCACTGCTGTTCCTTTCAACTTGAAATAAGAGTTGAACGGCCTTTGAAAAAGGAACTCCTTAAGTCATCTAATTGCAAGTCTTAAACTGGAAATGTGGGCAGTGACCTCTTGAACTGCACTTTCTCTTTCTGTGAGGCAGGAGCCTTGAATGCTCTTTTCACAGTCTCAAAGGACAGCCGTTAATGAAAATAAATGGAAAAAATGGATATTGTTTTAAACAAGAACTTTGTCTTTTCAGTATATTTAAATCCTAACCACTTGAGACTCTCAAAAAGCAGGAGGAACCGCTGGCATTCTATCATAACTTTTATAAGCATACTGTGTGGGGAGAGTTGACCAGCACTGCTGAGGAGCTGAAATATTGGCATTGGAAAAAAATCTTTGTGTTAACAAAGTTAATTTTCAATTTTTGCTGTGGCTGCTTCCAGGGATCGCATGTGACCAGGTGGCCTGGCTTCTATATTCTCCAGTGGAAATTTCATAGCATGCCTGCCTGTGCTACAACCAACCTGCCTCGTGTGGATGATGTACTAGCATCTCTACAGGTTTCCTCTCACAAATGTAAAGTGATGTACTATACAGAAGTAATAGGATCTGAAGATTTCAGGTATGTCTGGCCAAGGTTCATGAAGGTCAGCTGATGTCAAACCTTTCTGATGATCAAGCCAGTTTCAAGTTTGCTTAAATACAAGTAAATTGTGAGGACTTGTGTTTTCTTAGGCCTCAAAAAAAAAAAACCCAATAAACAAATTCAACCAGTACTGTCACTGGGGGCAGCTAATGTATAAAATAGGTTAATCGGTTATCTTATTGTAATCATCACGGGTCACTTTAGTGTTGTGTGAGTTGTTGGGCTTCGCAGGTTGTCGTGTAGAAATGGGTGCAACTCAGAATGGAATTGTGTCAGTTTAGTTGCCTGCCAGTTGATATACTTGACTGAAACTAGTTCTCAGTCTCTTTGAACAGTATGTTTTTTGCTAGAAGGTGTTCGGTGTCCCCATTATCTTATGTTGCGAGGCAGAAAAGCTTTTGGGTATCTGCACCAAAACCATTACTTGCTTTTTATTTTGTGTGCAAATGAATACAATATAGATACATAGCAGAAATCAAAGTTTTTGTATGTTCTGAAGCTTAAAACTACTTCGTTTCTTATTGCAGGGGATCTATGACCAGCCTTGAATCAAGCCACAGCGGATTCTCCCAGCTCAGTGCTGCCACCACCTCTTCTAGCCAGTCCCATTCCAGCTCCATGATTTCCAGGTAGTGCCACAACAGATGAAAAGCAAATGGATGAGATGGCTGGACCCTCGCCTGTGGCAGCTGACTGCAATACAGCATATTCAACTGGCAATTGTGCAAAAAAACCCCACCCCACAAAAGCCTTTTATAGATAGTAAAGTAGCTGTTTGAATTTTAAACTTAGTGATTTTGGTCCTTGTTAGATCCAACAGCTTGTCTCTTAACTTTAACCCTTTTTCCTAACTCAGCCATAAATATTTTTGCAAGTGTGCTTGCACAAATCCTAACTCTGAACACAAGGGCTCTCACTGAAAGGAAAAATAACCAGTGCATCAGTTAAGAATGATTTTTTTAACTGTGTAAATGTTAAAAAGCAAAAAAAGAGAAAAACCCTACCAAAAATGCTCCGTAGTGCATTAGAGATCAACTGCAAGTCTCCTGTCAGGACATTCCTTGCCATCTTAAGAAATCCCCTGTGGTCTACCAGTGCTGCAAACTGTTCTCCCATTGCCACTAAGTGATGTCCGAGACAAAGAAGAGCAGTTGCTGGATACTTGACTTTGTGAGTCCATTTTTTTCAAAGCATGCCCACAGAGCTGTGGCCAGGCTGTAAACACTAATACCTTTTGTATGAGCACATTTTTGGGGAATTTGAGCTCTGGGTCTTGATGGGTTAAAGCAATTCATTCTTTCTTTGGATTTGTGCTTGAAGCACTGCAGAGAGAGAGGCAGAGAGCAGGCTCTCCCTCACTGTGTCATGCTGGGCTGATCCAGAATGGGTCTGAGGATTTGTTACCAGCTCTGTGCTGGAGCTTCGCTCCACTTCCCTAGTACACTCCGCGTGAATTAATTTTACTGAGACTGTTCTTACCAGGAATTTATGCAGAGCTTAAGCTTGCTTCTCAAATCAGTCTAAAGGAGGTAGGGCTTACATCCTTCCTGTGCGCTTTTCAAGCCCTCTTGCCTCCTGTCCTTCCCTGCGTATGTCAGAAATAGAGCGCTTTAGGTCTGAGCAGCGGAAGCTTTAATGTAGTCAGGGAGCGCAGGGATCTTCGCTCGAAGTGGTAACAGTGGAAAGTGCTCTAGGCAGTGCCTGCTCGACTGTTTTCACTAGTGCTACTGCCAATGGTGAATTGCCATTTTGGATTTTGTCCCTGTTCTGCCCAGGCCCAAGCAATCCTACCTAAACTTTTTGTTAAAGTCTGTTCGGGTATTCTTCCACTTCGAGCCCTCTCTCCTATGCACAGCAAAAAGGTGCAAAAGACTGAAGTGCTGAGCAAAGGGTTGTCAGCAGACAACTACAGACCATGCCTGGCAGTGGAGCAGAGAAGATTCCAGCATGAAATGCAGCAGGGTTTGCATAGTTAGACCCTGCCTGGTCTTTCCTCATGCTCTTAGAGCTAAACTGTCTATCCAGGCAAAAAGGAGCGACTGTGCTGGCTGCAGTCCCTACTAGAAAGCTGGATAGGCTCTGTTAAGTCTTGCGGAGGCAGCACTGTGGTGAGTGAGTGGTAGAGCAGCTTGCAGAGGTCTTGCGCTTTCAAAGTAGAACGCACTTGAGATACTGGATGCCCAGCCTGAGGAAAGCTGGTTCTGAACTCAGTATAAATCTTTTTTATGACTGCAGAGCTTCTGAGAGACAGGTCACTAGCCTCCAACTAGGAGCACCTCTCCTGCGGACCAATTCTGGCTGTGGCATGTGGCAGACAGAGCTGACAAAGTATTTTAGTAATAGCTTTAGAGGTGCTGAGAGGCCAGCCTCCTTAAACAGAACCAAACTGCTCTATTTTGTCTTTTTTGGACTTAGAAATGGAAGACGGAGGTTAGACTGTTACTTAGGCTGCCAAAGTGTGCTGTTGTGCGAGACAGGCCACCACTTTGGCGTCAAGCGGCTCCCCACCCAGCGTCCGCACGGCGGACGGGCACACGCTGTCGCTCTGGGGCTGCTCCTAGGAGCTGGCTGCCGAGCAGGAACCCAGCTTGCTGAAGAGGTGGTTTGATTCTTGACATGCAGGAACCAGTATTCCCAGGCGCAGGGGAGCCAGTGCAGCAGGAGGCACAGGGAGGTTAACTTAATGGCTCTTTGCAAATGCCACTTCCCACTTACCAGGCTGTAAGGGTGGAAGATGGTCCCCTTTCTTTCTTTCTTCCTTTCTCTCTCTCTCTCTCTCAGATGGCGATTTTGCTGACAACTGTAAAGAAACTGCTTCATTCAACACTCCACATCTGTCCAGAGGTGTCTGGCTTTGTAGACCTTTTTGAGTTGCAGTCACTTTTCAAGTCTGAAGATCTATATTTTGTTTTTCACTTGAGCTGGCTCAAAAGTGGCACTTTGGGTTTTTCCTGCTGTTAATCTTAACACATCTTTCAGAGCTCAAAGCACATGACAGCACAAACAGCTGGGGAGAAGAAGTTCCAGAAAAACAATAGTTAATCCTCCTCTAAGCAAAGTGCTGTGGCAATACGACTTGATCACTGCAGCCTTGACTAATTAATTTCCCATACCCTGGTCTTTCTTTGTGTGATATTATTGCTCCTCTTCCTTCTCTCAGCCAATGACCCTTCTGTTGGCTTTTTTCCCTGTTACCAGTGTCCTTCTGCACTTTCCTGTCTGTACTCATGAACTGCATATCAAATTCTGTAAATGTTTTGTATACATAATACCTCATTCTTGGTAATAAAATACAGATAGTCTTTAAAAGATTTTTTTTATTGTTATCAATAAATGTGAACTGTTTGGAAAAAAGGGTCAGCCTCTTCATTTCATTCATCCGCTGCAAAGCTTCCAGGTTATCTTACGTGCTGATTCAAGTCTGCCAGAGCTGCTCTGCGGCAGTGCTGTTACGGGGCCGCAGGAGGTGCTTCGGCTCTCTGCCCCTCTGGAGAAGTTTTGGCGAAGCAGCCTGTATGGGGAGCAGAAACCTGAGTAGGTACGAGGAGACATGGGTTTGGAAGGAACAGGGCCTCTGCGGGGCACTTCCCCGTCACATAACAAAATCCTATCTTCCCACAGTACAGCAACACAGGTTTTTTTACTAGTCTGTGAATACACAAAAGGAACAAAATACTGTGCTGAAAAAGTCTTCAGGTAGCCCTAAAAAGAAAATGGTTACTTTTATGGATTACGTGGTGACTTTATACTCTTTTATCACCATTTGAAAGGGAGCCTCAGCAGTTCAGCTGACTGCAGCAGCCGCCCTTGGGGGGTGTTGCGTGCATGCCCTAAAGGGCTTGCACTGGCAGGCTTAGCGTGGGTACAGGTAAGTGTCTCTTAGGCAGGCTGGAATGTGTCTGGCCACCTGAACTAGCAAATGCAAGAACTTTTCTTTTTCCACCTGCTTATTTCTTTTTACCCAGTGACCCTGCCATAGGATTTCTGGCGGAAAGGCAATATCCCTAGGCTGAGGGAAAACCTGAATGATCTTGGCGCAGGCACAGCTACCTGAGCAGTACAGCTGCCCCTAAATCCTGGTCTGCCCAGTCACACTGAGCTCTTCGGGCCTTGCCGTGGCCTTGGGGAGGGGGACTCGGTAAAGATGAACATTCAGCGGTGCTGCTCTGGGTTCTAGTTTGGCAGATGCAGCTGCTGTGAGGGCTGGAGGGGGTTAAACCGGAATTTAATAATATAAAGGTACAATAGTTTTCTCTTGTTCAAGAACGAGCATGCTGATGCGCAGAGCTGCCTGTACAGGCGTTCGGTGCTGCCCGCTGCCAGGGGCGAGCCGGCCATACGGCGTGAAGGAGGTGGGCTCCGCCGCTGACGCCGCCTTGGGGGGAGGCCGAGACAATCACATTTGGAGAATTAAGGGGTTTTTTACTGCGGAAGTAGACAAAGCTTTCGCTATTTTTAAAACAGGAGCCAAGAAATGTCAGGCTGTGGTTTTTCTAACCCCCAGAGTTGGAGCAGTGGCTGAAACATCCACTTACGGTTGGTCTTTCACATTTTATCCAAGCTGTAAAGTTTTTAAAATGAGAATCTTTACTACGGTTGTGGAGCTTTGTCAGCAAGGCCAGATGGCTGTCTGACCTACTTCAAGTTTTAACATGTGGCCAATATTTTTATGCCGGCACATAATTATAATGAACCGGCTTACTGCTGCTCTGGATGTTACTAAATACAAAAAGCCCTTGAAAAGACGTCGTACAAGAAGGTGGCTTTGGCCGTTCCTCTTGAAATGGCGATTAAACTGAGCGCCTCAGCCCTTATTTGAGCTGAGCAGGTGATAACGGCGCGGGCAGGGGCTGTTCTGCCATGCAGCTCCCCTTGGGAAAGCGTTAATCTGCTGGAGCCGTGTATTTCGGTTTGGGGTTTTTTTGAGACAAAGCAAAATTCCTGGGAGCAATTTCACCTGCCCTTTTCCACCTGCCTCCCTGCCAGCCCTCCCTGCTCCCCGCAAAGCCCAGGGCTCCCCGTTCTCCAGGTGTGAGACCCTGTTGTCCTTGCTCGTTTGCAGATGTAGCTTGCCCACGAGCCCGAGTTCTCAGTCACCAAGGCGAAGGGTCCCAAAGTGCCATCTCAAAGCCTCCCCGCGCATCCCTCCTGCCGGAGCAGGGGCCGGGGCCGGCATCGCCCCGGCATCGCTGCCCGAACAGCAGCACGTGCATTCCCCGCGGGAGCAGCCCTGACCCTTTGCTCTTCCCCTCGCTTGGCAGGGTAGGCTAATTCTGCTGCTTGGTGTAGGCAGACAAGTTAAAGCCCTGCTGCCGTGGGGTGACCCGAGCCGGGCAGCCCCCGGGGATGGCAGCCCCAGGGGAGTCCTGGCTCCCAGAGCCCAGGCAGGTGGGGCCTGGGGTGCGGCTGTGACCCAGCGCTGCCCCACACCCCAGCGCTGTGGTTTCAAACGTTTAAAAAGAAAAGGGAAAAGGAAAAAGGAGCCAGTGTGTTACGTGCACACCATCCTGCCGCTACCCAGCACCAAAAGAGTGCAGCCGCCAGCTGCGCCCCGCCGCCCGGT